TACAGCGTACAGTGGGGTTACAGCGTACTGTGGTGTTACAGCATACAGTGGGGTTACAGCGTACAGTGGGTTACAGCGTACTGTGGTGTTACAGCATACAGTGGGGTTACAGCGTACAGTGGGTTACAGCGTACTGTGGTGTTACAGCATACAGTGGGGTTACAGCATACAGTGGAGTTACAGTGGGGTTACAGCATACAGTGGAGTTACATACAGTGGGGTTACAGCGTACATACATAGTGAGGTTACATTGTACATTGGTGTTACAGCGTACAGTGGTGTTACAGCGTACTGCAGTGGGGTTACAGCGTACAATGTGGGTTACAGCGTAGCATACAGTGGGTTACAACGTACAACGTGGTTACAGCGTACAGTGGGGTTACAGCTTACAGTGAGGTAACATTGTACATTGGTGTTACAGCGTACAGTGGGGTTACAGCGTACTGTGGTGTACTGTTGGGTTACAGCGTACTGTGGGGTTACAGCGTAGTGTGGTGTTACAGCGTACTGTTGGGTTACAGCGTACCGTGGGGTTACAGCGTAGTGGTGTTACAGCGTAGTTACAGCGTACTGTGGGGTTACAGCGTAGTGGTGTTACACAGCGTACAGTAGGGTTACAGTGTACAGCAGCTTACATTGGGTTGCAGCATATAGTGAGGTTACAGTGGGGTTACATCTTACAGTGGGTTACAGCATACAGTGAGGGTACATTGGTGTTACAGCGTACAGTGGTGTTACAGCGTACAGCGGGGTTACACATATAGTGGGGTTACAGCATACAGTGGGTTGACAGCATATAGTGGGGTTACAGCATACAGTGGGGTGACAGCATACAGTTACATCGTGCAGCGGGGCAGCGGGGTTCCAGCATACAGTGGGGTTACAGCATACAGTGGGGTTACAGCATACAGTGGGGTTACAGCATACAGTGGGGTTACAGCATACAGTGGGGTTACAGCATTCAGTGGGATTACAGCATACAGTGAAGTTACATCGTACAGCGGGGTTACAGCATACAGTGGGGTTACAGCGTACAGTGGGGTTACAGCATACAGTGTGGTTACAGCGTACAGTGGTGTTACAGCATACAGTGGGTTACAGCATACAGTGGTGTTACAGCATACAGTGGGGTTACAGCATACAGTGGAGTTACAGCATACAGTGGGGTTACAGCATACTGTTGGGTTACGGCGTACAGTGGGGTTACATCATACAGTGGGGTTGCATCATACAGTGGAGTTACATCATACAGTGGGTTACAGCATACAGTGGGGTTACAACGTACAACGTGGTTACAGCGTACAGTGGGGATACAGCTTACAGTGGTGTTACAGCGTACTGTTGGGTTACAGCGTACTGTGGTGTTACAGCGTACTGTTGGGTTACAGCGTACTGTGGGGTTACAACGTACAACGTGGTTACAGCGTACAGTGGGGTTACAGCTTACAGTGAGGTAACATTGTACATTGGTGTTACAGCGTACAGTGGGGTTACAGCGTACTGTGGTGTTACAGCGTACTGTTGGGTTACAGCGTACTGTGGGGTTACAGCGTAGTGTGGTGTTACAGCGTACTGTTGGGTTACAGCGTACTGTGGGGTTACAGCGTAGTGGTGTTACAGCGTACTGTTGGGTTACAGCGTACTGTGGGGTTACAGCATAGTGGTGTTACAGCGTACTGTGGGTTTACAGCGTACAGTAGGGTTACAGCGTATAGTGAGGATACAGCTTACATTGGGTTGCAGCATATAGTGAGGTTACAGTATACAGTAATGTTACAACGTACAGTGGGGTGACATCTTACAGTGGGTTACAGCATACAGTGAGGTTACATTGTACATTGGTGTTACAGCGTACAGTGGTGTTACAGCGTACAGCGGGGTTACAGCATATAGTGGGGTTACAGCATACAGTGGGGTGACAGCATATAGTGGGGTTACAGCATACAGTGGGGTGACAGCATACAGTGAAGTTACATCGTACAGCGGGGTTCCAGCATACAGTGGGGTTACACCGTACAGTGGGGTTACAGCATACAGTGTGGTTACAGCGTACAGTGGGGTTACAGCATACAGTGTGGTTACAGCATACAGTGGGGTTACAGCATACAGTGGGGTTACAGCATTCAGTGGGGTTACAGCATACAGTGAAGTTACATCGTACAGCGGGGTTCCAGCATACAGTGGGGTTACAGCGTACAGTGGGGTTACAGCATACAGTGTGGTTACAGCATACAGTGGGGTTACAGCATACAGTGGGGTTACAGCATACAGTGGGGTTACAGCATACAGTGGGGTTACAGCATACAGTGGGTTACAGCATACAGTGAAGTTACATCGTACAGCGGGGTTACAGCATACAGTGGGGTTACAGCGTACAGTGGGGTTACAGCGTACAGTGGGGTTACAGCATACAGTGGGGTTACAGCGTACAGTGGGGTTACAGCGTACAGTGGGGTTACAGCGTACAGTGGGGTTACAGCATACAGTGGGGTTACAGCGTACAGTGGGGTTACAGCGTACAGCGGGGTTACAGCGTACTCCTTCAAGAATTCCATTCACGTTTTAAAAAGAGGGAGATTGGAATCAGACATTGAATGCAGGCGGAATGTTACAACTGGTTTTATAATTATTATGGAAATTGTTTGGTTATTTTTGTTAAACAAAGGATTTTGCTTATAATTTACTGACAGTGGTCTCAGCTGCTTAAAATAAAAAGTTCGATTTCATCTTTGAAAGTGCACGTGTATCACGTTTATCATACATTTCCTAAATCGCCTTCACTGAGAATTGTCTCATTATATTTGTACACATGACCTTTACAAGGTTTGTACGCTTGTTTGTTGTTTAACGCGACACTCAACAATATCCAAGTTATATGACGGCGTTCTGTCAATAATCAGTCAACATGTGATAGAATGTAACGTTCTGAATTAGTATGTATTTTCAGAACAACACTTGACTAGCCCTTTCATGTGTTTATGACGGGCGTCACCTGTTGGGCATACGCTTTTCGTTTCGGGAACACCTAGCGATTCGAGGACACGTGTTCAGGATAGAGTCGAAATAGTATAGCCAACTCTACACGTGGTGAAGGTTTCTTGTTGTTGTAGGAAGGGTTTGGTCACTTATATTTCCAACAATACATTGCTGGATGCTCAAACACGTTATTTGTGTACTCCGTGTTATGATACCAGTGAACTTCCGGGTTAGAATTGGCCTTCGGGAACCCATGGTTGTCCCCTGTGAAGATCCAAATTAGAATTGTCCTTCAGCAACCCATGCTTATCGTAAGAGGTGACTAACGGGATCGGGTAGTCAGGCTTGGTTGACACGTGCCATCGTATCCAAATTGTGTAGATCGATGCTCATGCTGTTGATCACTGGATTGTCTGGTCCAGACGCGATTATTTACAGACCGCCGCCGTATAGCTGGAATATTGCTGAGTGAAGCTTTGAACAAACAAATAACCAATCAACCAACCGTTTTATGATATATCCCGAACGATCAGATTATCAGATGTTTTATGTTAATACTTATGGCAAATTCAATTTCACTTCGTTATCCTAAACTTCAATCATTACAGTATCAGTAGCTGAGTTAAATACAGGAGCTGGAAATGATTTCCCCATCATTTGTACTGAATACGTAGTTTGTCACTATGTTATTCGATTGATATCAACATAATTTGTTATGACGATCTATCTATGATACACCATACTATTATCTAATAATAATGTTCACTTTATATTGCGCTGAACTCCACTGGGGCGTGCTCATAGCGCATACATTAGTCAAGGAAAAGTAAAAACTTGGTGGCAGTACAAGGTCACTTTAAAAGTACAAACGGAACAGATGAGTCTTTAAGAGACACTTGATCTGTTCCAACGACTGGGCTTCTTTGAGAGAGTCTGGCAGTGAGTTCCATTTAGTGGCAGCTGCAACACTAGATGACTTGTAATCAAAGGACTTTTTCTTCCATGGTGGCACTATGAATCTCTGTTGATTCCCAGACCTGAGAGAACGTCATAGAATGTACAAACACACAAGGTCGCACAGGTATGATGGGGCCAGATTGTGAACACACTGATATGCCAGGGTGAGGATTGTAAACCTGCTGGGGACCAATGTAACGCCTTAAGCACCGCTGTTATGTGCATTCTGGAGGGAGATCCTTGGTTTTGCACTTTTTGAAGTTTACTGAAGAGTGTTGCCGGTATGTTCGCAAGCAGACTATTGCACTAGTCTATCCGTGTCAAAATCAAGCATCGAGCGAGCCTTGCAGTCATGCGGATGTACGTTTTCAAACGATTATATTTAAACATTGTCATAATAGATTTATCAAAGCTCCTCTATCCTCACATAACATTCATAGGGCATTTTAACACTACCTGTGACAGTGTAATCGTCAGTGCAAGTGGTCTCAGTGCGTTTGCCTGTTAAACCCTACTTACTGAAGGTACAGCATGCATGCTAGGCAGTTTGTAATTTGCAAGTGCAGATGTTGTGGACAGTTTTGCTTATTTAATTAACGCCAATCTGGCGGCTACGTTTCTGGCGCCTCTTTCGCGCTTTATGGTTCCATCGGGGCGGTGGGTAGCCTTGTGGTTAGAGCGTTCGCTCGTCATGCCGAAGACCAGGGTTCGGTTCCCCATATGTGAAGCCCATTTCAGGTCTCCCCCGTTGTGATATTGCTGGAATATTGCTAAAAGCTACTAAACTCACAGACTCGCTCATTCGGGTTCCATCACACGAGCCCGCATTCTGTTGTTCCGTTTCTGTGGATTTCGCATATCAGTAACCATTTGCCATTTTTATGTGTGTAACAGAACCATTTGGGAGGGGGAGAATACGTAGTGCAGCGATGCTCCAAAGAACTGTTCTGTAATCTATACGTGACGGTCCAAACGTAACAGTCCAATTATGATCAATAAAAACTGGTCAATTCCCCTCATTTCATCTTAAATCACTGTTAAAAACCCATGAATGTACATGTACTTACATGGAAAACAATCTTGTGGTCCTGATTCCATATAAAAAATTCATATGACCCGTGACCAGGGCAACGAAAGTTGATGTAATGCTGTAAATGGTAACGCACAACTCAAACATGTCGTCCTGCTCAGGGCATCCAATGTCTTCGTCTTCCGTAGAACGTTGAGAGGAGGTCATAGGACGTTCAGAGCTAGAGTTACAAGATTCGTCATATTGTTCCCGGGTAGTGTTATTCATAACAGACAATTCACTGCTGTATGTTATGCTAGCATATACTAGTGTTGTGTTGTTAACATGGCACAGAGAGCTGTAGATCCCTTCCATCTTGAGTACGTAGACAAGAATGGCCCAGCCTACTCTATATCCGGCCAGGAGGAAAGTCTCTAGGAACGCCCATGTTGCAACAAAATAGATGAACCATCCTTTCAAATATTCACTGAACATCGCACTGCTGCTCTTCTGTCCACGTTTGCCTGCAAGGTGTTTGAAACATATATTAGGAAAGAAACTTTAATTGAAAAAATGATTGCTATAAATATTATACCAAGAGGAAGTTCTCTAGAATCGCTCATGTTCCAACAAAATAGTTGAACCATCCTTTCAAATATTCACTGAACATCGCACTGTTGCTCTTCTGTCCACGATTACCTGAAATTCGTTTGAAATATACATAAGAAGGAAACGTTAATTGAAACAAGGTGACTGGTAATAATAGTATAAATATATTTTTAAAATATAGCAGTAGAGCACATTCTTCACAGAACGCCGTGACGTTGTCTGCAATGGAGGAATTACGAGACTCAGTCACTCTTGTCTTAAGTGATTTCTCTGACGTAAATCCTGCTATGATCGATATGTTGTTATCTATTCTGTTTGGTAGTGATCTGCAGTTGATTCAGTTTTACATGTTCAAAAAGCATGTTCAGCATGGCCACTGAATGCCTAGGTCAGAATCTCCCGCCAGAACAATTGCATACCGTCATCATAAATGTCTAACCATGGTTAAACAAAACCAGAGATACTCACGACTCTAGCATTTAAAGCGAGTTCAGTGATAACACCATACCTGCTGCAGATACTAAAATGTTTATGCTATTTGTATTGTAAGGGACATATTCCTGTCTTGTACCCAGTTTTGCATTCGTTTCCGGGCTAAATAGCCTTTAAGTTAATTACCTTTAGCTAGACAGTAAGAAAATATGTTATCTCACGTGTGTTGTTGACGATGATGATGATGGTACAATATAAACCTTTGCCATGACACATACATAGATTTATGGTTTCGTGTTGTATATTTTGTTTCGTTTGTTGTTGAGTTTTGTTTACTTGTAATTGTTGGGTTTTGTTTTGTTACCTTTTGTTTTATTTAATATCGGTTTTTATATTTTACTCCTTTTAGGGGTGAGAGGTGTTTTGTTTTGTTTGTTGTTTTTTGGGGGGTGCTTTCGTTAAATTGGTATGTTTTGGTGTTTGTTCTTTCTTCAGTGGGGGATCTTGTTTGGGATTTTATATATAACGATGCATTATTATCAAAATACTAAAACTATTCGACAGCAGATTACGCGCATATGTAGCATATATTGTATACTCTTCAAAAAATAAGAAACTTGACATAGGAAAAAAGGAATTTTAGCAAAATGTTTAACACAAAGTAATCCATGCTGAAACCCAATGGTTGCCGACGACAAAATGTTTGAAAAAAGAAACGTTGAACAAAAACGTAACGTTACACTAAAGTCTGTAGTGAATCGCTAAAACGCACCCTACATGAAATGCACGAGCATCATGAAATTGTGTATCACCCTGAGCTGAAGCCTATGACTGTAGGCTTAAAAAACCCACATCAATGACAATCTACATGCATTGCTTTAAGCCACTATAGACGACAAGAGTATGAAAAGACTGACAGAAGCTCAACGACACAACGCCATCGGTCGTTTACAAGGACAGACATCGCAATAAGGTGTGGCAAGTCAGTTCAGCGTGTCCAGACAGACCATCTCAAACCTATGGACCCGATACAAAAAAACTGGGAGTGTTAATGACAGACCCAGGTCAGATCGACTTGGAGTTACCATTTTCGTTCAAACACCGCGGCCGCATCATCTATAACAACCCAAGTCCTTGGACTGCTCCGAATCTCCGACCAGACAGTGCGCAATTGGCTATGGAAAGCCAGGCTTTTCGCCAGAAGACCAGTTCAATGTCACGTCGTTCCCTACATCAACGTGATCTTTGGAGCATGACAATGCTCGACCTCACGTTGCACGTGTTTGACAGGTCTTCCTCCACCAAAACAATGTTCAGTTGTTACTTTAGCCTTCTCGTTCATCGGATTTGTCCCCCATTGAAAATATATGGGATACTCTTGATGGACACTACAAGAACTGCACACAGCACTTCAGCAAGTGTATCAAAACATTCCTCAAGACAGCATTAGGGATCTCCTTTCTTCTATGGTTCACCGCTGCCAAGCTTTTATCGATGCCCATGGTGGTCACACCAGAGACTGACATTTTACTCTGACCAAGTGGCTTTAATAGCCCTCTGTGGTTTTACCAAACACTTGGATAATCATGTTTTGGAAATCTGTAAAGTGATGATTTTACTGTAACTGAGCAATGAAGTCATGTTTGAATCAGTTATATGCATTCAGTAAGTAAACTCCAGTAAAGTAAACAGCATGTCAAGTTTCTTTTTTTTAAGAGTATATATTGAACGAACTATATGTTGTTCAGGGTGGGATGGCTTCCCCAAGTTTACACTATACAAATTGTAAAAGAGAAAACTGCCAAGTCACATAGTTCTTTCCAGACATCCCGATGATTATTAACAAGCAACAAGTGTTATCGGACATGTGAGTGAGTGAGTTTAGTTTAACGCCGCACTCAGCAATATTCCAGCTATATGGCGGCGGTCTGTTAATAATCGAGTATGGACCTGACAATCCAGTAATCAACAGCATGAGCATCGATCTGCGCAATTGGGAACCGATGACATGTGTCAACCAAGTCAGCGAGCCTGACCACCCGATCCCGTTAGTCGCCTCTTACGACAAGCATGGGTTACTGAAGGTTCATTCTAACCCGGACCTTCCCGGGTTATCTGAAATGTAGGAATTGTAGGTGTAATATATATTATTGGTTCGTTCCTGGGATATTCTCACATTTCCGTGTGCATGATCTTCTATTTGGAGTAACACTCCATGTACGGTGTGAAATTACCGTTATGATACATTTCATCACCTGGAAATTGTATGGTTCCCTTCAGTTAGTTCTGTCAGCATGGCGGATATTTGTGCCGAGCGTTGTTATCGTCATGCATTTCAACAAGACGACATGTAGTAACTAGTAATAACATTTCATCAGTATACACCAGTTGTGGGCATCCACTGAAACAATCCTACTTACCTTCATTTAGAAACTGTGGATTCTGTGGGGGTGTAACATGACGAGCTTCGAGCTTGAACACTTTCGGTATCGATTCAACTAATTTATTCTTTGAATACCACTGAACTGAATATCTAAAACATCTAAAAACGGTTTAGCTACTGCGCATGTACGGTTATCATCTGGCCCCGGGATCATTAAAGTGTCTTAAGTCCATATTTTGTCTTAACTCTTAAACATTGGACTTAAGACACTTTCATGATCCCGGGGCCTGGTCTAATTCGCTGGTCAGCCACTGTACTGGAACATTTCCAGTATATTGTTCAGTGTAATTACCACCAATAATCAACTATTCACCGTTAGGAAAGAAATGTTAACGGTACTCGTGTTACCGCGTCATTGGCCTCAGTGACCTCCCCCTGGTTAGGTTACACTGCAACCTTGACCTTTATTCTCTAAAGCACCATTGTTAATTTCTGTTATAATGAATAAATATAAATGCATTAAAAACACTTTGCTCAGTATACCATTCTAGTATCGATTAAGTCACACGTAGTCAGTTTCAAGTGACATATGTTACCTACGTATAACAAAGCGTGTTTTCACCACGCATTCCGGAACACGCACTCGGTGTGTATTTTGTCAACACAAAACCTATATGTAATGAATGATAAACGTTTATTTCTACGACAATAAAACATGTTGATTTAAAGCTGTGCAATGCATTTGCGCTAACTTACGTGGGACCTGACAATAGAACCCACAGATCTGAGAAATCCAGCGATAACATCTGCATTGATGGAACATGTGCTCGTTCGCGAAAGCAAAATGTACTGAAACCGAAATTCTTATTGTTGTGATTATGTGGGTTTTTCGCAAAAAAATTATTTTTTTTAAATTGGCTTCACTTGATGAAAACATAACTGAAACGACAAGAAAACAATCGAAGAGAACAAAAAGCAAAGAACTGCGAGAAATCTGAATTTGAGTCTTATTAAATAGACTTATATAACGACAAAAAGTGGTAAAACAGAAAATGTAACGAGGAAAGACTTGAAATTTCGCCAAACAAAATATATATATAAATGATTGAGAAAACGAGACGCTTCCGTTCTAGACACTAGACAATACTTTATTACCTTAAAGGAATTCGTTTTGGATCACAGAGCTTTGACATAAAAATACGAAAAAACTAGCAACATAAAAAATGAATTTAATAAAAGCATAAAATGAGATAAGATATGTGTTTTAAAATGTTATAAATAAATCAGGAGATAACTGGACATTCAACATTTGTTTAAAGTGAAATACCTTGAGGTATAAAAGGCGTTCGAGCTCGTTTAGTCTTGGAGATTGGCACTGTGTAGCGGCGGCCGGAAGGTAACAGCTTATACTCTTGATTTATACAATGTATCTACAGCTGTATTTACAATTTTGTTAAGTTTTGATTTGTTTTTAACTGAAAGAGACACGAAACAGTATTGCGGGAACAAGGTGAGTATGCTCTGAATAAAAGTGGTATAAAACAACATCATAACAGATTGGGAAACATTAAAAGATCGCAGCTTGAGCATTAGATGAAGGCGTTGTGGACATTTACTATACAGGGCATCTGTGCTGGTATTCCACGTTCACTTGTTATCAATAAAAGTTCCAAGACGCTCTCAATTGGTTCATCATTAATGAATAAATATGGTATTGTTGGGGAGTTAGTTCTGAAATCAATTCACAACAGTTCCTTCGTCTTTTTTCACATTTAAAATCAAATGATTGTCTGTACACCATGATGTGACGTTCTTTACATTATCCCTGTATCGTCGCTCTGAATCGGAATCACACATCTGACCACATCTGAATGGCTGCATGATCAGCAAACTTCACATTGATACAGTTAGTCTCTGCGCAAGTGCAGTCGTTGATGTATAGAGTGAACAGAACTGGTGACATAACACAACCTTGCGGCGCTCCTGTATTGATAACCTTCATGTCCGATACACTGCCGTTTACTTTCACACACTGAAATCTTGCATGAAAAAAATCTCCGATCCATTTAATCATTTGTTAATTTACTTGCATTCTTGCAGTTTTCTTATCATGATGTGGGGTTGGATCATGTTGAAAGCATGAACAAAAGTCAACGAATAATATTCCAATGTAGGACTCGGGGTCTCGAGATGCTTGTATGCGTTGTTGGGAAGGGAGAGTGTGGCGTCAACAACTCCGCGCTCGGATCTGTATGCGAATTGTATATTAGGGTCCAGGAGATGGTGTACTTCTCTCTTCGGAAACTTCAAAACGATGCGCTCTAGACACTTCATAGCAATAGAGGTTAATGTGACTGGCCGATAATCATTTAGTTCTTGTGGCTTGCTCTTCTTTGGAATGGGTATAATCTCTGACGTTTTCCAAATATTTGGAATAAAGTGATTGTACAGTGACTGTTGGTATAGGCGTGTGAATACTGAAGCCAGCTGTAGTCTACACTCCTTGAGAACAATACCATCCAGTTTGTCTGGTCCCGAAGCCTTTCTAGTGTTGATACGTGCGAGGCTCTGTATGACGTCATCCTCGGTGATAGTTACGGAAGCGACCGAATGTTCGATGTTATTATATACATCCTCTCTCTTGACTGAAATTATGACAATCGAAGCGACAACAATTCAAATCTTCAGCGAAGACTTTGTTGTCTGTTGTAACAATGTCCTCACGTTGCTTTGTATTACCAATTATTGTCTTGATCCCCTGCCACGCTTGTTTCAGACTGCACTGCTTCAAATCGCGTTCCACCTCTCCTTTGTACTCGGCTGTATATTGGCGTGTCTTCAAATGGATTTCTTTCTGTATTAGCTTCACTTGAGTAATGTCATTTTCCATGAAGGTTCTCTTTTTGTCATTAAGCAATGATAAGAAGTCTTTTGTAACCCAGGGTGTATTGTTTGGGAATATTTTGATAGTTTTTGTAGGTATCACATTGTCCACACAAAGGTTTATATAATTCGAGTCAGTGTATTCAAAACACCCTTTAAGATTTTCGAAACTATCAATAGTCCATGATTTCAGTTTCAATTTTAGCCTTTTCTGTCTTAAGCTTTTGTCGATACTTTGGTAGGAGAAATGCAATATTGTGATCTGATACTAGTAATCCAATGGGAGGCTTATTGTATGATTTGTAGGCTTCCGTGCATTTCCATTACACAAATCAATTGTCCTTTCTTTCCGCGTTTTACATTTGACATATTCCTGAAACAAAGATTGGGCTACCTTGGCACCAGTAGGCTTCAGTACTCGTTGACCAATCGATTTGCTGCACTGAGGTAACGTGTGAAGTCCACGTTCAACTCTCTATGTGTATAATGGAAGAAAACCCCATTTAATTTTGGGTAATTGAAACACAGTTTCAGAAAGAAAGGAAGGTAAATTTCTACTTAGCAAATCACAGTATCATGAATCCAAATGATTAAAGCAATCGATGTTATCCATTCGTATCAATTTTCATCCCTGTTTCGACTCTTTCCATGCAATGTGTGTGAGCACATAACTGATTACTCTGAATGTTTGACATTTATATTTATTCCAGCAAATTCTGCTTCTATAATTTCAATCAATAAAAAGTCTACTTCGTTTATTGTAAAGTATAATTGTTATTTTTCATTATCCTTTTGAGTGCATTGTTAACAAGTTATTAAACTTGCATCGGCAGCTGATAAATATTGTGAACACTGTGTATTCAGCAGCAGTAGAAACTATTACATTAGCTCGATATAACACATCGACGTGTAAATAACCACATTTGGGACAAACAAAACCATTGTCTATACACAGGAAGAACTATCCATTCCGCGCATAAAAGCAGTAATTGTGTAAACAAGAATTCTTTCTAACCCGGATTGATGGATATGTACAGTACTGCTGATGACATTTTATTGTTGCAACATTCAAATGCCTCAGTGAAACATTCAACTAGTCTAAATGCTGACATTTGGATTTACCAAATTAGATCATTCTAAGAATTGGTTTAACATTTTAATTATTGAAAATGAGGGGTTTATGATAGAAATTGAATTCATGCTATCCGTATGTATATTACGCTTTGTTCAGTGGTTATCATCATGAGTTTCACCTGTACGTACCGGAAGCATCACGACATAATGGTCGATTAAACCATGGTTTTATTACCCATATGGTGAAACATAACCAGTGTCATATATACCATATGTGCACATGTCCACATATAACTTTTGCCAAGCAACCATTGTTCTGTATTTCGTCGTCTGTGACGTCATTAAACAATTGAACGTGACGTCAATGAAGAGGGCCGTCCCACTTGCTTACCGTGTTTTACTGCACAAATGTACATGAATAAAATGGATAATTATGAAATTATTACATTCGAGCAAGTGTGCCATAAGGCTTATACGAACCTCGTGCAAAATTATGTATTGCCCGAGCTCTCGCCTGGGCAATACAAAATTTCCCACTCGTTTCGTATAAGTCGTATGACACATATATGCTTGTGTAATAATCTCTATTTACGTCCGTTAAACACATGTGTTATTAGCAATTCAAACGAAACATTTTAATATGCTTTTGAAAGAAACCGATGTGTATTATATATGAGACATAACAGTAGAGGCGGACATGAAGGCACCAAAACTCTTTCCACAATCATAAGAAATTTCTTCAGGATACATTGAACGATTCAGATCACATCGTACGAACTGTTCATCACTGTCAAATAGCGATGCAAGGTGCTCTCGGAAATGTGAGTTTATACCGATGTTAACATCTAAAAACACGCAAATCCCTTAAAACAGCCTTGGCTGTCTATGATTTCTGTGAAAAAGAGAATTCCTTAGCAACGTCCAACGAACGAAGTATTCATGCACACTTGCCTATTCTAAGCTTCAGTCGATATCGTGATATTAGTTGCTTCTGTTTCCTGTTTGCCGCATGAGAACATTCTCCGAAGATGTCGTCGAAGTTCAGGCAACCTCCAAGCATATATAATTGGATTTAGGAAGCTGCTCAACAGCTGAAGAAACAAGACAACATCCATAATATCCAGAGCATAGTCACTTGATGAAAAACCACTTTCAAAGGACAAACCAAGAAAGCAGACATACATGGGGATGTTGAGAAGAATAAACGGCACTAATACAGTAGCAGTGGTAACTGTCGTCTTCATGTTCAACTTTATGGCGGCGGCTGCACGATCACCATGAAGCATAGTGGGTAAGATTTTAGAAATTTGACGTCGAGCTAAAACGAATATTCTCAAATGGCAAGCAAGAATACACGTAATTAGAAGGAAACCACCAAATGTATAAGTTATGTATCCGTTACGAATCATAAGTTGAACAAAATTGCAGGAGGTCAGTTCTCGAAACATTGCCACTGTTGGGGTGACGAAGACAAACGCTATCATCCAGCTGATGATGGTGAATGTCAGCAAGATCTTGTTGTTAATGTACGTGTCATATTTCAGAGGGAACTCCAAGGAGAGGAATCTGTCCAATGACAGCAGGCTCAGTGTGAAGAGTGTCACAGAAGATGCCATGGACACAAACCAAAACCGGATCTTGCATTCCAAACTCCCGGCATGTGTGAAGAACTGCATAGTGCCATAGTATACATACATCATTCCTGAAATAAGGTCACTGATAGAGAGGTTGGTAAAGGAGTACTTGAGAGTCATCTTCAGCTGTCGACATCGACATAGACCTGCAGTTGTGACGATGTGGAGGAAGATGATAATAGCTCCAAAACAAATCTTGAATACAATCCAAGGTGTTTTGAAACAGAAGAGACACAAATCCTCGGGAATTGTCGAGTTGCTCATCATGTCGGCGACTTCAACACACAAAATGTCTTTTTACTCTGATGGAACCCGAACAAACTGTTGTGGATGGGAAGTGAATATGTACTACAATACACGAGAATACACAGTTTTGATTACCCATCGACACAATTTCCATTAGGCATAATGGTCAAAGTAAAAGCGAAATCTGCATGAATGGACCACAGGAAGTCAGCGACGACACCGGGTGTTTGTGAAACACCCACCAGTAGCACACGCCATTCAGATAATTTGTTAAAAGCTTGTTACATATTAGTACCCTCGATGAAGCCAGATAATCGGTATATTATGACCACATATTTGTTGGATGACGTGAAACTAGACGAGACTAGACGAGACTTGCCCCAAAGTGTGAAATAAGCCAAGTGACAAATGTGAGCAGCTTCGGATTCTTGATGCTACCTGGTTAAGGTGTTATTCATGTAATGCCGATTTTATCATACCTGTTAGTGTAGGCAAGGCAACGGCATTAATGTAAGTACACATGGTTATATCTTCCTCTACGACTAAATGGCACGGACGCCTCTAATTGCTTTCCATTACACGAGATTTTCATAAATGTTTAAGCCGTTCTACGGTTGCAAATCCCTTTATTGACTTGTAACATACATTTCCATGTTTGTCAACAGCTTACCAATTACGGTCTCTACAGGAAACGGTCTTCTTTTTTGTGAACTTTTTGTGGTGTCTGCGCAGGACGTCGACCCTTGGGTGTAATGTCATTGTTCACTTAAGAAAACAGGTCGTCGTCCTGTCCATTTGACTTATGCCAATTAATAGGGGATTCAAAAAGACATAGCAATAATCCAGTCTTTTCACAAGGTGATTATCCGGATTATGCGGTTGAGAGCACAGACAACAGGAGAAAAATATGTTTCGTCCATTTTATTTCGTATACTCAATCATCCAACATGAAAAAGGTGAGAGCCTGACATTATGGAAAATCTTAAAACAACACCAACCAGCGGATTAGCTGGTTCCATGTTCAGCGGCATCAGCTATCACAAACACATGGAAAGGCAAATCAATAAAACGCGAACTGTTAGGAGAGTAATAAGTGTGAATTGTTTTGGTTTGTTTTTATTTTTTGTTTATGTGTTTGTTTTTGGTTTGTTTGTGCTGTTTTTTGTGGGGTTTTGTTGTGTGTTTTGTGTTGTTGTTGGGCTTTTGTTGTTTCTGTTGTTGTTTTTTTTTGTGTTTGTTTGTTTTGGGTTGGTTTCGTACAACCAGTATGGGTTCCTGAGGACTAATCTAACACGCATTCTCATAGGGTTAAATCAGTGGTTTGAACATAATGATGATGGTATACCGTTTCCTTAAAGCAGAGACATACGAGTCAGCAACATGATAGACATCTTTCCGTACATTTGGATGGTATGAATAATACATAAGGTGTCAGGAAACCCGGGCAAAAGCCAGATACACATTAGTAGTTAGGATAATTGCAATAATCCTACGTTGATGAATATAGGGTCAGCGGTTTACTGTTGCACCGTTCACATTAATTACCTTCAATACATATTGATTTAAATGCATGTGTTTTTGCAGTGATTTTGTATATCGACCTCAAACATGCACTTGACGCCTTGTCAAGATTTAATGTTTACTCAATATTCTTCCAGGAACTAAATACCCGCCGCTCCGTCTAGTCCATTAACAGCATCAGTCCTACAATATTATCACCATTTAGGTTATATATTTTAAAACAGTTTTTGCCGACCCAGCTCATTATAAGTGACAGTGTCTTGAAGGTGCACTAGGCTGTAACCCCATTGTCAGACAGCCAGCAAAGCCTCATCAGCTGCCGTGAATGAGTTAGCTGGCTCACGTAAGTTAGGGTGACAAGTCTGTTTTGAGATTCACTTACCGTCACATATGGTTTAAACATGTTTTATTCGGAAACGAAAAGGATTGGCAAACAATCCTAAACGGCTTATATTAATGATGCTTCATAATACATATATAGGTTCACATATATACACAATGTTGTACATAATAATTATAACAAGTTGTGAAAATAAGAACAAGTTTTCTCTGAATGATAACAATCTTGGATATTAACAATTACCTCAGTTTTGTTTCGGGGCCAGTTGATGCAAATAAGAAAATAATACAAACTACAAAACTTTTATGAATCAAATCGTTTTGATGTAATAATGAATTGATGCACTGACTGTAAAATATCCATATTCATGTGATATGACACTGTGTTATTACCATTTAGCACATCCCGCAGGGAGAAACCTTTCTCAAAACAAAAATGATTCATATGTTATTATATTTAGGACATATGAAGAAATCATAATCATGTGAGAAGGAATTAGGACACATGACGAAATAGTGGAAAACATCCTCATTATCATGTGAGCAGGAACAAGAAGCATTATCAGAAATGAAACGATTATATACTTACCACTGTTTAAGTCACTGCATCCTAGTCTCAGACGACAGTGTATTATTTCACAGAAACGACTACCAAAATCAAGATCAATCGTTGTATTGGTATCAGATTGTGGTGTGAATATGTTCTTAAACTGTCCAACAGATGAAACAGTTGTCGCATTTGTAGGTTGTTATTCCACAATTTAATTGTGTCGGGCAAACACGAATTGGCATAAATAGTAGAGTTGCATCTTATAAGAATTTTATCATCAAAAGACGAATCTGTCCATGTAAAATTAGCCCTGTTTTTAACACATTCGCTGTCTTTAAGGAAGAGTCTAATTTCTCCTGTCAACTAATCTAACAATGTTATGATGCTTTCCGCTGTTTGCAATGTCCATACCTTTCCTGTCATTACAATACTATGTATACGGGCCAGAGGCCTTATGTACAATAAACCATCTTGATCTTGATCTTGATCTAGTCTGATAATTATATTATTCCTAAGATCATAATTACTGTTGTCAGACACATTCCCCTGGAACAACATCATAAAGATAGTCGGGAACCTCATGGTTTACAATTTTGTAAAATAATGTTAATTCTTCGTTTCGCTGAGGAGGTCTGGTTTGTCTCATTATATAGTTTCGCAGGGCTCGTACCTCTGACTGCACCGCATATTGTGCGTAAGGCATCTTAGTGAAAGGGTCCTAGTGACAAGGACTGTTCGTTTGTACAATTGTCCCAGAGATGGCAGCAATAATCAAATAAAGATAAAATGAAGGATTTATACATTATGTCGAGAGTTTTGCCTGACAGTCTATATTTGAAACTACGAAGGCAATTAATCATAGGGCTAATTATCCGATGTATATATATACTGTATACTGGTTATTGCACAACCTGTATTGTACAATCAGTGTGGGGATACGGGCTCAATCCGTATATGTGTTTTTGCCCATGTTGTATATGTGATTATCCATCTGATACAGTAGCTTACCTTTCACGGGTGTCCATCTGTCCCTTATCTTACAGCATGTGGTGCATACAGTGGTAAATATTAAATATAAGCGTTAGAGGTGGCGGAGCCTATTCAGTTTTAAGGCGACGCAACAAACTGAAAGATACTTTTTTCTATGGACCTGTACCAGTCCACGACCGGACACTGTCAGTTGGTTTGGTTGGTCTGTTGCTTAACGCAACACTCAGCAATATTCCAGCTATATGGCGGCGGTCTGTAAATAGTCTGGAACAGACAATCCAGTGATCAACAGCATGAGCATCGATCTACGCAATTGTGATACGATTACACGTGTCAACAAAGTCAGCGAGCCCGACCACCCAATCCCGTTAGTCACTCTGTCAGTAGGACCGCGTGAAGAATATGAGTCATTGTCTGAATGTATTTGGAGATCTATGTAACTGTTTAAGTAATCAATAGTGATCTTAGATAGCTAACAAAATAATGTTTGAATGGTATCAATAAAACGGACCGTCAAAGTAGGTGACTTGCTGAGTGTATTTTATTTTTAATATTATTGAAAATGACAACAATCTTCACAAAACATTTCCTCCGTTACAAAGAAATATGTTACCATTTCTAAAGTTGTCTTCTATCATAAAAATGTCGGTTACCACAACGTTACTCAATGCAAACGTGACTTATATAAGAGAAACCTCCAATATCTCTCAACAGCATCATGTGAATGTTGTTATATATAATCTCACACAAAACTGACACTGTGTTATGAATATATGTTTTCATAAACGTTCGTTAGATAAGAGCAATGAAGGTTTTGAAACCCGAAGCAGCATTAAAATATGTATTTACAGAGCTCGCCTATCCAAGCTTCACGAAGTAAGAGTCAGATGTCTGTTCACCCGGTTAGCACCACATTCCTCCGATCACATTGCCTAATCTTATTGATGCTATCTTCCATGACGTGTGACCATTGTCCTAATATGGTGCTTGAGTTCAGGAAGTCTCCATATATAAATTAACGGGTTTAAGCAACTGTTCAACAGCTGAAGAAACAACACAATTTCCAAAATGTCAGGAACAATGGTATTTGCAATTAAGTCGGGTCTTTGCATGAAGAAGAGGAAACAGATGTACATGGGTATATTGCAGAGAACAAACGGCACCAACACTGAAGCGGTGGTTAACAGTGTCTTTGTGTTCAGTCTGATGGCTGAGGTTGCACGGTCCTCGCCAAGGATGGTTGGAAGTATCTTAGAGATTTGGCGTCGAGCTAAAACAAAGATCCGCAGGTTGAATGCAACGGTAACCAAGATGACCAACAAGCCGCCCATTGTCAATATGAGGAATCCTTGTGGAGACAGGAGGTCAAGAATATCACACCAAATGAAATCCTGAAACTTTGAAACAGTCCAGGTAACACCGGTGAAGATTAGGCTCCAGCAGATAAAGGTTGTCACCAGAAACACCTTTTGGTGGCAAAGGCGTTATATTTCAGGGGAAACTCCAGTGAGACGAATCTGTCGAATGACAATAAGGTCACGGTAGACAAAGCCATGAAGGTACCCATTCCCAAAAACCAGATTCGTATCTTACACTCAGTGTCATAGTTGTACTTGAAAAC